AGGCCCAGCCTGCAGCAGGACTCAGACTGTGGTGCCTGGGAAAGCCCGAGGAGGTCTTTCACTTCCATCTGATTTAGTAGGCAGGGGATGGCATTTCCTGGGAGGGTGTTTGTGCCAGGAGGGATGGGTGCCTGGACTCCATCTCTCACTGTTCTCCTGATTCTGCTTCATTCCTTTTCACAACCTTGTGCCCTTATCGGCACTGCTCGTATGACAGGCATGTGCAGAGGACAGTGAAGCCCATAGGAAAGAAGCTGAGAAGCAGGGGTCAAGAGAGGGCAGTGACATGTGACTCCCCAAAATAAGGGGATCAAGGGCCTTTTTACAGGTTCATCTGTTTCTCTACATAAAATGGAGGAAGAGTGACCAGTAAGTGGGCATGTACTTAAATGCCAACTTTCTATCAGCTATGTTTCCCAGAACATAGCTAGAAAAAAAAACAGATAAAATGTACATTTCTTACTACTCACCTGACCTGAATTTTTATCCTACTGGTACTACTTCTGAAAAGAACACTTTACTCAATCCGTCATCAATTAGAAAAGTGGACTAATAGAGGAAGGTGATGAAAGCAATAAGACTTTCAAGAGATTCAGAACAATGATTGATATTTTCATTCATATGAGAAAATTTTGCCTTTTATCTTAGTGTATGTATGAAAACACACAATATAAGTATAACCAACCACAGGAGTTTGAAGATGTCAACAAGATATCCAAGGTGTCATTGGAATTTGGCAAAACGGAACTTGAGCCTGGCATGGGGTAGATCATGCTCAGAGAAGAATGAGCAAATGGAAAGGGTCAAGGAGGGGTGCCTGTAGAGAAATGGAAATCCTGCAAGAAGTGGCAGTGCATTTTGTGGGAGGGAAGCAGGCAAGAACAGGGTTCCACGCTAAGCATGCAGACTCCAGATGGCTGGAGAGCCTGGAGGGAGGGGCTTACAGAGTTCACAGTGATGTGAACTTCCGGTATCCTAGCACCTACAGTGAAGGCTCATTGCCTAGAGCACAGGAACCAATACAGGAAAGAACTGAGGAAGTCTCGTTCTTTGAAATATAGAGAAAAGATAAGATTTAGTGGCTTGCTTGCAACCCTAAAAGAACGGAGAAACTCAAGAGGGAAAGAGGCCCTGCAAAATGAAATGAATCGTGACTAATTCCAGACAGGTGGCAATAGAGACAGATCTAAAGGAGTTATTATATTTTTCATGACATATTTTGTTTAGAATAGGCTATGTACAAAGAGAAGGAAGGGCACAGTACCAAGGACAAACTGAGAAGAGTGACACATTCCTGTGAGAAAAGTGCCCAACTTAAGCCAAGGCTTGCAAAAACAAAACAAAACAACTGAAGTTGGTAAAAAAAAAAAAAAAAGTTAAAATGAAAAAAGGTGGCGGTGGATTATTCACTTAGGGATCTTGGTAGCATGTTAAGTGAGGATAGCTAAAGTAAGATGACTCATCTGCCTTTTAGATCTAGCTTTTCTGAAAAAGCAAAAATGGTTTCCTAACTAGAAAAATTTAAAGAAGCATAAAAAAATAAGCTCAGTGGAAAAGTCAGGAATCTCAGTGGTAGAGCACCTTTGTGGCATGCATGAAGCCCTGGTTATAGATTTAATCCCTAGTACTAAAAGAACATAAAATACTAGACACACAGGGAGGAGGTGTGTTACAATAAGTGGTTTGTTTCTTAGCCGCTTTAGTCCAAATCTTCGGGCACTACAGGCTCACATTCCAGGGTTCTGGACAAGCCTAAAAAGAAGATAACAGAGCCAATATACCTGATCCCTGGGGAACCAGTACAGATAGCAAGACCTCCAGAAAACTATTTCTGGCAAATGTCCCAATTTACCCAAGAAGAAAAGATGTAGTTCTTCCTGTAAGGAACAATAAGCCTTGCAAAACTGTAGGCCATATATAATTTAGAGAAGATTCCTAAGTCTTTTGCAAAGGAAAAGATGGATTCTGAGAACTAGCATGGATTTGAGAAAAAGAAGCCATACAGGTTACTTAAGGAGGCAGACTGGGGAAAAGCTACATACAGTGACTGTATATCTTGAAGCCAAAAGAAACAAATATTGGGTCTGTATCTGTTAGACCCTGAGTAATTGGGGCACATGATCCTAGGGTTTGGGGATCCCCATAATTGAGCTTCATACATTCGTGTACCCAGCACCTATTGGAAGCCTCTGTGCTTTTCCTACATCGTGTTTCCTTTTGCAGACTCAGAAGTATCACCCTATTTGTCTGGTTGTTTATTTCAAAACTCAGCTCAAACAGCACCTCCTCTAGGAAGCTTCCTCTTTGGCTGCTGGCTGATGGGAAGTCCCTTATCCACACTGGCCAAGTGCTCCATGCACTCTGTGATCATTACTACAGTATTCTCCCTGGGCAGTACCTCACAGCTCACTTACTGCCTCCCTTGGGACCTACGGCTCTGGAGAGGGTTTGTATTTTCATAGTCCAGCACAGCTTCAAGCTGCACGGGGGACACTCGAGACATGGTGAATGATTCACTTAGAGGTTCAAAGTGAAATTTGAAGAAGCTTGTCTCATTGTATTCCATGGACTTCTCTTAAGTCTGCACTTTTCACAGCGACTTGGAGCTATAACATACTTTAAAAGATCATAAAGGTGGTAGACAAAGGCAACTAGATACAAAGTTCAAGGTTCAAGACCTATCTACAGACTTGTCACAAATCCTAAAAACAGAGATAACTTTTTAATGTGGGTTGATTTTCTTGATTTTCCTGTAGCATGCTAAAGGAACAGGCTGGTTTGTTTTGTTTTGGGGGAAAAAACCAGAGACAGATCATCAGAGGCGAAGTATTTATATGTAGGTACTGATGCAAATAGTGCATTAATGAACCATATTCCTGCAATTTTGTCCAGTACTTTGAACTATGCACTGCTAAGGGTGGATAATACATTGAGTATATCATGAATATTATCATGACTTCACATTATCTTACCGACCATATTGTATTTGATAATGAAATACCAGTACACCATTTGTTATGTATGTTTCTCTGTTTCTAAACTTTATGGACGCTGTGGGAAGATAACTGATAACGAATTACAAAGTTTTAACAGGAGTAATCATGAAGCTTTATATTAGGTCTCAAAAAAATTAAGTAGATATCTGTAGAGTAGGGAATATCTGACTTAATCCATCCACCCACCCACCCACCATCCATCCTTCATCCATTCAGACTGAGCACTCACTATGTGACACATACTGTGTTAAGACCTACAAATTTAGTGAAAAATTAACACTGCCTCCCCTGAGCATATTTAGGGGAAAAATGGATAATAAGTAAGATAATGAAATAATTTCAAATGCTGATAGAGTCATGAGTAAAACAACGTGTGATGGGGACAGAGGAGGCCTTAAGATAAGAGGCTACACAGATGCAACTTTGAGGCTTTCAGGAATTTTATGTGAAAAGCTAGGCAGGATCTGGCTGGCTGATGAGGGCCATCTGAACAAGTAAAATAGCTAAAAAAGTAACTGCAGGCCTGGGTCATAATAGCTGAAGCAGAATGGTGAAATCATGGGTGTTGACAATCCCACTGGCTCTGTGGAAGTCACACCACTTCTAAACTACCTTGTGTAGGCCATCTTCCTACCAGTGCTATAGTTTGAGAGAGTCATTGAATGTGTCCAGGAAACGGGTCTAGAAACTCCACCTAAGGAGGCAATGCTGACAGAACCAGGGAAGTTTAGTTTACAGAAAGAACTGCAAGGAAGATATCTTTAAAATACTGTAACTGAAGATTCAAGACATTCCGAAGAGAACGATTCCATTTTGTGTTTTTCTAGAAGTCTAAACTTGAACTGTTGAGAAGACAGTATAGTACAGTTCAAAACAGGGAAGATGGTCCTCATTGAATTAGGGCTACATAGAAATGGAATTGGCTTTTTAAAAGAAGTATCCCATTCCTAGAAGTATTCAGAGACTGGGTAAACATCTGCTAAAATAATGATTAAGGGATTACTATATTGTGCAAAAGATTTGCTTCAGGGACTTATGTTTGGATATGGGATATATCTTTATATCTCTGGGTGGATGATTTTTCTCATCTTGGAACACCAAATCCTCTTTAAAACATTTGAACCACAAACAACAATATGCTGAGTACTTCAGATTCCTCCTTCTTCTTAAGAGTTTTTGTTTTCTTGGAAAGGAGATGTCTTAAAGATCAAAGAAACTGATCCTTCATTAGTAATGGGCTTCTGTTATCACTGGGGCAGAAAGACGTCTTGGTGGGAGGCCTGCGCCTGCTCCTGTGCAGGAATACATGGACTTTTTACCTTCCCTGACTTCAGTAACAGTGAGATGATGGAAGATCCCTTCAGAGATCCCCACACTTAGAAGTAATTGCCACTTACTAGTACAATATTACAGAGACCCAAGTATGAGGACCAGGAAATCATGTCAAGGTTCTCACTAACAAGCATCTAACTAGGAACAACTGTGTGATGCTTTTGTTCATCTCCCATGTGTGTAGATATATTGTCATGTGTAAGTACAGCTCTCTGAAGTTGGCACCTTACAGTACCACGTGACCCATAACTCAAGGCTCAGGTCAAAGGCTCAGTGTTATCAAGGAACTCTGTAGAGCTCTCTTGTGAGGCATAAGGCCTCTCCCTCCCTTTGGAATGTGGATTTATCTTTGGCAGACAAGTGCTCCACTTTTTGTTCTAAATGTTCTTTTAAGGTGATGTCTATACCGAACGCCTTACCTGAACTCTGTAGTATACACAATCAGTTTCATTGCTCAGTGTAATCATTTTATGATTATGATTTGATAGGGTATCAATTCTATCTCATCCATATTTGAAATAAAGACTAAACAAAAGCCTATTAAGATTAAAGCTTAATGCAGTGATTAACTTGAATTCCAGATTGGTATATTTTTTATTTACTTTATAAATAAAACATGGATTTTGAAGGACAGTAGAGAGCATGGTATCTAAGTTCAGTGAAATACTATACCTGAGCCACAGACAACAAAAACAAACAGTGCCAACAGCCATGGTCCTACAGGGTATTTTTCTTCTTGTGGCCTCTAAAAGGGAAAGAGAAAAAGCAAGATTAGATTCATTGAGTTGGTAAACACTTATTATGATTGGGCATTGGCCTGGGTGCTACTATGAATGAGACAGACTTGCTCTGAATTCTTAGTGGGCAAATATAGATGTTGGAGGACTTAGAAAGTTTTGAAAAAATTAATCAACAATCCTTTTAACATCCATTACTCAATAAATTTGGGAGTCTTAATTATTCTTGGGTATATAAGGTATAAATATATACACTAATACAGTGATTTTTGGAGACAAACTGGTGTTAATGATAATTGTTTCCATGTGTTGAAAGCATATTCTAAGCCAGCCATTCCACTAGGCAGTATATATGTATTATCTCAAGAATGCACACCTCAGTGGAAGGCAAATATTATCTTTATTTTCACTTTGTAGTTGAGAAACGGATTCAAAATTTGTTAACCTGAGAAAGAGCTGGAATTTAATTCATTACAGAGCATGATTATTTTTCTCTCTCATTCCCACATCTGTGCATTCTAAGCAGGATCAGAGAGCATAGACTTTTTCCTCAGATCTGTCTATATACCAATAAATTGGAAAGTCAGTGCAGTGGCAATCTTGGAACAAAAAAGCACCTCAGAATTGTGAATGGATGTGAGGGTTACAGTATTTTGTAGTGAAGCTCTTAAGCCTTAAAGCAGCTTGTGCTTTGGAGAGGTTTATGCACATTCTGGCAGGCAGAAGGGCACTGCTACACCTGCATGAATGCACACCTACATGCCCCATGCTCTCCTCAAGCCAAGAGCTCAGAAGTAATAAGAACATCCCTCCACAACACTTCTGGGTCGATGTGCAGGTCCTTCAAACCAACTCAATCAACGGGAGAACAACATATTTTCTGAAGAGGTATCAGAAAAAGTAGTGATTGAGAAAGTAGAAAGAAGGAAAGAACTAATTGTTTACTTCCTCATTGGCTTGAGCAAAAGATAGATTGTAGTCAACATAAATTAAAGAACTCTTTCTCTCTCTCACATACACACTCCACACATCATTAACAGAAACATATTGGTAGGGCTGATATATATATATTGACAAATGTTTACTTGTGATAGAAATCATAAAATCCAATTTCATATTTTAATTAAATGTCATTGACATTTTAAAATATATTAAACATATAAAATATGGGCTAAAAGTGAGTTAATGTCCATTACAAAAAAAAATGAGCAGTATTGTTATTGGGGATGCAATTTTCTAAAATGCTGAACAAGTTTTAATAGTTTCTAACAAAGAAGATGTAATCGTCCTTTGATTTTCATTCATACATAAAATGGAGTCAAATTCATATAAATAAAAAGTAGATTTTCATCTTTTAAAAAAAATCCCTAGTTTTTCTTTTGGTAGTACTGAGAATTGAACTCAGGGCCTCACCCATGCTAAGCAAATGCTCTACCACTAAGCTACATCCCCAGCTCAATCTCTCACATTATTATAGATAAGGCAACAATTTGTTAGTTCTCAGCTTACCTGTTACATTCCTAGACAGCCTTACTTTTTAAAAAAAATTTCAGGTGCATTCACTTGTCATTTGTATGGCCATGTACATTTTCTTGACAGCATTTATTATAGTTTACAGCTCTATATTTACTTCTGTAAGAATGTGTTTAATGTCTTCTCTCCACTAGACTCTAGGCCCCACCAGAGCAGGCACTGCCTCTTAGATATCAAAGTATAACAAAGGCTGGCACAAAACTTAAACACAACAAATAAATGTTCATTAGAGAATGAATAGTATGCAAATTTCATTAAATACAATTTCTTAGGTCAAGTAAGGTCTGGGTCTAGGTAAATTAGTATCTGTTAATTAATACTTCCTTATTGGTGGTAGGGTTATCCTTGCATTTCTCTTACTAGAGAGGTATCAAGTATCAGCGGCAGGTACTTTGACTTTGGATTAAAGCCACTGACTCCCCTGTCCTTGTATCTACCATCATTTACATGGCAGTAAGTCACGCTGTGAGGTATAATAGATCATTGCTCTTGACCAGACCAGGACAAAATAAGTCTTCAATAATTGCAACAAGGTGAAGTTCTGATTAAGTAAATAATAAAGACATTAAACAAAGTTACCAAAAGAGTGACATTTTCCCTTCTCTACTCTCATCCACAACTTTTAAAACAATTTATCAGAGTTGTCCAGAAATCAATTTTGTTATCATCCTACCACTAATGCTGCATAAAAAATTTTATTTTAGCACTGTTTTCAGCAAGCCAACAACTTAATTCAGGAGCCCATATGAATCCTTACTCTAGTACAGTTTCCAAATGGAGTCCCTCATTTTTCATTTGTAGAAAAATCAAATTATCAGCAGATAGAATTTGGAGTAAATAACATAAAAACTTTTTTGATGATATTCTCTAGTGGTCTTTCAGAGCTCACAAATACCTGGCCGATCATAATATCAACATACTCCTTTTTTAATTTCCTATACTAAGGATTGAACCCAGGAGCACTCTACCACTGAGCTACACACCCAGCTCTCCCTCTCCATCCTCCTTCCCTTCCACCTCCCCCTCCCTCTCTTTCTCTCTCTCTTTGAGATGGGATCTTGTTAAATTGTCCAGGCTGGCCTTGCACTTGCAATCCTACTGCCTTAGACACCCAAATAGAATATATTCTTTTTGAGAGCTTTGGGTTACTCTTTTTTGGGGGAGGGGTGTGCAGTACAATCCCATTGGGATAATTCACATAAACCTGACCCTGTTGCTTAAAAAGGTAAGGAAAAACAATAGCAATTCTGCAAATGACAAGATTCACTTCAAGCCTGAGGCTCCAAAATGTCAGGAGATGGCTTTCCCTGTGATAAAATACCAGCTGGGTGGCTCAGAACTCTGAGTTAAATTCCCCTTTCATTGTGGAGGACTTATTACTTTATAATCATACAATGATTTTTTTTTTGTTCTTAATATGCTATCTGGGAGAAAAATATTAACTCCAAAGCTGTTAGCTAATAATGAAATACTGTGGCATTAAAGGAGAAGTTGATTTCTGAACAAGTTGTCTGAATTTTCAGTTGAAATCTGTAAACACTTCCCCATTTACTGAATTTCATCCTGGGTAAACTGTCTTTTCCAAGTTACTTCTATCAAAGTATAATTATATTTGACTTGTAATTGGGAAAATGAGATTTAGAATTTTTAGTTTCTTTCTGAAAGGGAATTTCATTTTTCTTTTGGCTCTGGACCCATTTAAAATAAAGTTAACCAAAAGCTCCTCCAACCAACTGAAAACAAACATGTACTGTGGGTTGTTTGGGAAACCTTTCATTACAAATTTAGCTGGGCCATTTAAAAACTGTCATTGGCACCAGTGACTTTCAGAGGGCCCACCCTACGTTATATCAGATCCTATTAAGTGTATTGATACTACACAATAAATATAATTTAAATGTAGGTCTGAAATTTGAGTTGAGTTGAATAGCAGGTGACTAGATATTTATACATTTTCTCAATTTTCCTGCTGTCTTTTCTCCTTTTGGGGCCAATAATTTTTGTTTTAGGGCCAAAATATTTTCTAGTGTTCTGTGAAAAGCTAGAAGTGGCAGTCAATGAGTCTACACAGCTAATAGGTACAACAGCCCTGCAAATTAGGTCTTGCTTAGTTGTTATTTTTGCAGGCAAATTAGTCAACTGAGATCAGTAAACAACTGAACTCTGGTTCCTTAGTTCATTAGAAAGAGCCACATTTAGATATTTTCACTGTGTCAGCAAGTAGGTTTGATACCTTCAGAAGGATTTCTTGGGAATATAAATCCTGCATCTTTAACATCAATTAAACATTATTTTTTCAGGCAACTTTTCCTGACTAAAAAAATACAAGAAATGTAAATCTATATAAAAATTGTTCTAATTCAATAATGCCTTGGCATTTTGCTGCCCTAATCACAGCTAAATGATCTATTCCCAAACGAAGGAATTTTAAGGATTACTTAAACCTAGAATTGCATATAAAACTCCTGAGTAGAGGTTTCTCTAACACAGTACATCCTGGTTTTGCAAGAATTTCGATGTGATGATTGCAGATCCTGCTCTTTATTCAGTTAATCAAACCAACATAATTTGTTTGGCTAAAAGGAATTGCCTCATCAACTCTGTAAGCTTTTTCAGCTAAACCCAAAGCTTCAGCTGGACTTCTAGTTAACTGTTCAGAATAATAAATTCCAGACGCCTTTGCTCATAGATTTGGAGACCAACTCTGCTCAACAGCCCAACAGACTCAGGTCTTTCAATGTTCAAAGTCGCAGGGCTGGCATTTTCTGTTGAAGAGTACTTTACAAAAAGAAATCCCTGTTCATATGGCAAACGTTTACTTCCATTTACAAAGCTCTAATCTACAGTTCTAGGGGCACAGCACATAAACTGGTCTCTAAAGTTACACCATCAGTGTGAGTCTGATTTCAAGGAGTAAACATGAGCAATGTCATACTTAAACTTTAGCCTAACGTTGAAGGGAGGCTTCACTGGAAAACAAAAAAAGGAGGACAGTGGGAAATGTGGGTCAGCATCTCACTCCTCAAAAAAACCTTTACAACCTGTGTAAAGCCAGGGGCGGAGCCTGGGAGCGGGAGATGATAAGTGCCCTCCATTTACTCCCTCATTCATTCAACAAACATTTTAACACCCACTAGGTTCTGGCCCCTGTGTACAAGGAATTGGCTTAACTGTCCCTTAGGGATGTGACTTTTGGTTTTTTCTCAAGGGCATTGGTCTAATTCTGTCCTGGGGAGGCTCTTCCACCCTACTAGGTAATTCAGGCAGCCACTCCCAGAGAGGCCACGACCAACCAGGGCCCACTCCGCCCACGGAGAGGGAGAATTCCGCGCCCCCCAGCCCAGCCCAGCCCCGCGCCCCCTCTGCGGGACCCTCCCGATCCTGAAGGCCGCGCCCCCGCCCCGCCCCCCCCCCGCCCCGCCCCGCAGGTCCTGCCAGGTCCGCTGGCCGGCCCGCCCCCTCCTCACCAGGGTTTTGGCTACGTTTCCCCTCTGGGTGATGTTTTTGCTGTGCTTCTCGTTAGCCATCCGGATCCGCTGTTTGGCCACCATGGCTTAGGCTCTTTGAAAGGCTCTCAATCCCGCCTGCAAGGACCCCCGGGTTAGCGTAGGCCACCAGGCCGAGCGCGTCCGCCGAGGCCCGAGGCCCGAGGCCCGCCCGGCGCTGCGGTGGCCAGGCGCGCCCCGAGCCCCGCGCACCACGCTCCGAGCCCTGGCGAGCCGGCTCCAGAGAGAGGCCGGCGCCCGGACGGAAGTAATCTCTCATCTCAGGAAACCCGCTCCGACTTCCTCGCCATCCTTCCGGTCCCCCCAGCTACCTACCCCGCGTGGCCACCGAGGGAGGAGGCAGGCGCGGCCTCGCGTCCCCCGCACCGAGCGGGGTGCACGGCGCAGGGCCCTGGGGCCGCCCTCGTGTCGCTGCGTTGGTGTGTGCGTGGGGTGGGGGTGGGGGACCCGTAGACCCGGAGCCACTTCAGGCCAAGAAGGGACCAAAGGCGGCGGCTGGACCTCAAAAGTCAAGTGGAACCTGACAGGGCTGGGCCTTCACTGCTGGGGACAGTCCAAGGAAATCTCCCCTTGAAGATCTAAGGGTGCACAAAGGGACCCTTAGTAAAATGTGAAGAAGAAACCAGAAGCCTATCTCCAGGACCTATGGTGATCAGACTCCCGAGGATGGAGGAGTTAGGACAGGCCTTCTTGCCTTGGTGGTTGTGGGAATTACCATGAAAGTGGGACCAGGGATACATCTGAGTGCCACACGGAGAAGGATGAAGAGACTTTGGGCCTGTGTCCCAGATCTGACTTGGTGGTTACTGCTCAAAGCCAAAGCTTTGACTAGCCTTGGCTCCCCACCCATCCTGGGACAGCTAGGACCCAGCTTATTCCAGGGCCCTGAGTATAGACTCCCAGACTGAACTGGGAGTTTCCCAGCCACCGAAGGACAAAAACAAATTTGAGTCTCCCAGACCCTGTTATTAGGACTCTGCAGATAGCCCTGGGCTGGGGAGAGCGACTCAGTCCTTCAGGTTTCCACTACTGAACACACTAGAATTAGCTCTTAGACGCACAGGAGGGGAAGAACCCCCTCCCCCCACATTTGGAGCCCTGGGAAATGTGATCCAGATTAGGGTGGACAAGCACTAGCACCCCAGTAGGGGAAAAAAGAGCTGTGGCCACAGACTAGCTTGGCTGTTGCAGTATCAGTCTCTTGCCACCCTTGGCTGGGTATGATGGCGTCTTGTGGGGGCAGAAATCCCGCCAGTGGGAAGTTAGGAAGATCTCTCTCTTGGCATCCTTCTCTAAGCTGGTCCCCTGCTCCACATGCTTCTTGTCATTCAAGCTTCAACACAGGCCACTTGGGGCTGGATGCTGTAACCCAGAGTTACCTGGGGACATTAGAGTCACTGGCTCTTTAAAATGTTTTTCTACTCTGGAGGCCCCTTCAGTTTGAAACAAGCTTGCATTGAGTTTGTAACTCTCACCACTAACATTGCCACCAGTATCACAGGGCCACACACAGAGTCTGCCCCACTGTATCCCATTCTTAGGACCTTCTCTTCCATTATGGAGCATGAGGGGGCCAGATAATTGGTGACTCAATTTCTCCCATCTGGCAGGGTAGCCAATCAGATGCTGTTGTTTTGAACTTTGAATCTTGAGCAGGTGATGTGAAGACCAAGGGACAAGTTTAACTTCCTAGTGGTCAACTTCCTGCCCCTGAGGCAGGCAGTATCCTGAGTCTGGCAGTATCTAGCCATCATGGTGATGAACCAATTAGTATCATCTTCATTCATCTTCATTTCATACCTGAAATCATTACAGTCAATTCTTATTCTGTTGGCCAGTGTGTAAACAACCAAGAACACTGACTAATGCACATGAAAACAAAATATCAGAATGTCTTCCTTGGTCATTTCTCCTTCTAGATCTGGAAAGATTGTTAAATCACTTGAAGTTTTCAGACAATGTCAGAAAATGGCTTTTCTTTGACGTTACTCACAAAGGGAAGTAAATAGAGAGGCCTTGGAAACAGGTGCTATGGGTGGCAGGGCAGTGGTAGGCAGGTGCACCCTGCATAAATAAGAGCAGCTGATCACTGACACTTCAAACACTTGCAGTTTCCTTCTCATCCAAACTTGTCCAGTACATCTAAAGGAGAGGAAAATTGGGCAAATCTCAAACCTCTCCTTTTGTACATAAAACTTACATTCTTGTGGAAATGTTCACAAAAGTGTTACTAGTCGCCAAAGAAAAGAAGAAAGCTATCAGCCAGTGTTTTCTGTTGCGTATATTGGTGTTCACTAGGTTATGGTTTTATGGAGTCTAGTTTTAATGGAAAAGAATTGTGTTTATTGAGTGTCTGCTGTATACTAATCACTATTTTAGACATTGAGAATTTAACGACTGATAGAAGGGCGTTTGCCTTAGGGAACTCTCAGTTTGGTGGGGGGGAGCATAAATAAGTATAAATTGTGAGATTACTTTAATTTTACAAATGAGTATTGGTCTCAGAATTGCAAAGGGAATTGTAGTAGAGCTGAAAGCAGTTGATTCCTATTGACTTCCTGTTTTTGTCACAAGATATGTTTACCTTTAAACTTGAGTGAGAACCAGAGTGACAGGGCTCCTCACCAACTGAGTTTTGGAGCAGTTTATATGTATGCAAAAATAAATCACACACATACATATACACTACAAAGCAGATAAACTACATTTCAGATGAACTTTGTTCCCCAAATGGTAGCACAAGACCGAATTTAACTATGACAATAGCTAAGTAATTCCTTGACCCTTGAGGTGATCAGATTAAGCTTTAAAATATAAGCCATTATCACCTGTCTTGAGTCTTTAGTTGCCTGACTACATCTGTTTTTCCTTTTTTTTTTTGGTACTGGGGACCGAACTTGGAACCTTGCACTTTCGAGGAAGGTGCTGGAACCACTGAGCTAAATCCCTGGCCCTACATCTGTTATTAATAACAGTAAAACCATTGTATCCTGAAGAGGGGAAAAACATACCCTGCTACAGTACTTCCTCTAGTGACCCCATGGCAATTTACTCAGAGCTGAAGATAGATGATGCTGCCACAGGTTTGAGCTTCAGTTGTGGCCATGCCCTTGCTAAATTTCATCATTTATTTCAGTACAATGACACCTTGTTTCCATTCAATCAGGTGCATATTTTTAATGGCTGGAAGAGTTTCCTGGTAGGGAAGAAATAACATCAATAATCATACCTAGCATTTCCTAAGAAGGTCAGACACTGGCCAAGCCATTCACTTGCACTTTCTTAATTTCTACCACAATCCTGTAAGTCCATAGAGTCTGGAAACAGACAAATCCTGACTCTTCCACTTATTAGTTTTGTGATATGTGTCCCTTTCTTCATCTGCAAAATGGGAATGATAGTCATAATGCTTACTAGGCAGGGCTATTTAAGATTAGGTGAAATAATCCATGTTAAAAACACTTAAGCACAAACTCTGAACCCATAGTAATTGCATAGTAAATATCATCTTCATTTTACCATTGAGGAAACAGATTTACAAAATTAATAATTTGTCCAGGGATGTTCAAGGAAAACCACTTTCACCTTGAGTAATTTGGAGACCACTTAAAGTTCTCAGATATCCACTATGGGATGTTGTAAGCACAGCACAGGTGGACACAAGAAGCCACTGAATTGGAGGCAGAACATGGGAATAATCCAAGTCATCATGTTTTTCTCTTTATTCAAAAATTCTAAAAAAAATTTAGGCATTACCATTCCAAACAGATCTAAGAAAAAGATCTCCCTTGTCATTGAACCTAAATTCAAATCAACCTCCATTATTATAGTACTACCGTGTGTGTTTATAAATATAGTTAAACATGTGTGCATATTTGATACATTCACATATATTGTTTGCTTATATATAATATATTTAAGTGAGCTCTTATGAAATCCTTCTCATTCCCTTTGAAAATTTCAAATAGTATCATTATTTAATATAATCTGTGCCTTATTTTTGTTTTGTCTTCACTTAATATTTCATAGAGATAAAATATTTCATAGAGATTTATTCATATTATTGTATTTAGATTTAGCTCTTTTTTTGGGGGGGGTACTGGGGATTGAACTTGGGACACTGCACTTGAGAGGCAGGCAGTGCTCATTTTTAAAATATGGTTACATGGTATTGCATTACATGAAGATACCATAATTGATTCAGCCAGTCCACTATTGATAGATTTTTAGGTTCAGGGTTTGCAACTATAAATCAGTGACTAGCTTTGTATATGTATTTTTACAAACACATGTGCATACATCTATTGAGAACTTCCTAGAAGTGTAGTCTCTGGGGTCAAAATTTATATGCTTAAACTAACAGTGTAATGGATATTGACAGATTTTTTACCCTTCAAGAGTTTGTGGATTTGAGGGTGATCTGGCTGCAACATTTGTCACCCCTCTGATTGCCAGGGTTGATTCAGCTGATCTGGCTGGCTAGGCGGGTGTCCCCTTCCTCCCTCACCGCTCCATGTGTGTCCTTCCTAAAGCTGTGTTCTCGGTGGAAGAGGACGACCATCTCCAATAGCAAAGGACCGTTTCCTCAGTCAAGGTGTATGAGTAGCTGCAGTCCCCTGCTAGAACCTCCAAACAAACTCTCAAGAGTTTGTATTAATTTATATTCCCTCCATACTTTTTCATGGTTGTGTGACATTGAATAAGCAATCCTGAATCTCTCTCTCTTTCTTCTTTCATTCATTCTTTTTCTCTCTAGTAAAGTTAACTAGCTGAATGATGTGTTTATGAGGCCAAAGTCAAAACTTGTCCACTAGTCAATTAGCTTTGCCATATCTGTACTCAAAGTTATTTCTTTGTATGGTCTGTAAATCATAATAGGAGCCAGAGGAGAGAATGAACAGGCAGACAATGGTCTATTAACTTCTTCAAGGTATAGACCATGAATATTCATTAGGGTAACCTCAGAGGCTCTAGCCTGACAATGTTGTAAAACCTGAAAGGATTTGGAGATTCAAGTATTAACTATATGAAGTATTTATTCACTGGTTTATATAGTTTGTATTTCATTTCTTCAGAGAATATATCCTCTTGTGAAAGATACACAATGCAGGTTCATACTTTGAGCTCTGGCTCAGGCATCAAAAATAAATAATTTCAATTTCAGACCTCATTCAATTGTCATTTATTTTAATGAAAAATTAAATTACCAATTTAAATACATTGACATACATGTTTCATGGATCCAGTTAACATATTCCTCAGTTATGATTTTTATCTGTGTCATTCAAAGAAGTGTGTAGTCC